AATACAAGTATTAAACATCATTTCTCTATGCAGTGAATATAATTGTCTTCATTTAACCCAGTCATGCAGCAGAATTAATGAATGCATATAAAAAATAGTGCAATATGTGAAGTACTCAAACATACTCTAAATAAACTGTATACATTTATACATTATAATATTTTATATATATTATATATGTTTTTTACAGTACCACCAAACAAAACCCTTTGTGTTGACAACAAAATACCGTTTTGTCTAAATCCTAATTCTTCCCAATAAAAAATGACAGCGTAGCAAAATTTATACAAAGGTGCATATCGTCTCAAAACTGAATTTCAAGTAAAATGTTTGGTGCTCAAAACAAAGCAACACATTTGGTTGTATCACTGTATTAAGTAAAAAAGAAAATCTTAAGTATCATTTATTAAAGACTGTATACTCTCCCACTATACACAATGAAATCACAATACAGTAGTGTGACACATAGTCTCCAACGATGTTCTTGCCCCCAATGTTCTACCACAGTTTTTCTAGAACTTATTAACTATATGGGTGGGATTGTTGTTTCCCTTAAAACAACTGAAGCTGGCATGCACGTCAGCTTAATATTTACCCACAGCGTCTTAGTGCTGTGCAACGCATGACAACTATGTTCAAGAGGCTACACCTGCAATATTTAACAGAATTACTTTAATAGTGTAAACAATAGTATTATCTTACAAGTCATCCTTCAACAATTTCAGACTAATTACACTGATGTAGTACAGTTGGTCAATATCACGGTCATGCTTAGTCAAATAAAAATATTATATCTATGGTTGCCAAAGCAACAGTATAAGCCTCTAGTTCATGTCACTAAATTGCCTTATGATACAGGCCAAACAATTGAATTTCCTAACTCATAAGCCGAGTGATAATCTTGTGAATAAGATCTCTAATGTAGTTACAAGTAGACAGATTAATACATATACACAAAGACAGACAGATGAGACAGAACTAGGTAAGAGACAGGAAGCAGATGACACCATCATATGGAATGTCCAACAATTCACCTGACAATTATTTAACCATCATTAAAATATATTTACAATTACTGATCAGTTTACAACAGTTTACCAAGGCATCACGACTAGGATACACCACTAAGATGCTCACTCCATTGGCCATTTAATCCACACTGTATGAAGTACCCATTTACCAAGTGGTCCACACTGCTTGCATACAGTACCCATTAATCAGGTGGTTCAAAATGCATGCAGTACCCGATTGGGCAGTGGTCTACACTGCATGTGGAACCCATTTTGGCAGATGGTTCACTCAGCATGCAGTACCCAGGTGGTGCATGTAATACCCATTGGTCCACACCTCGTATAGTACCTGTTGACCAGGTGGCCCACAGTTTGTATAGTACCTTTTGGCCTCTAGCAAGCTCTAACTGGCCCGATACATGGTACATACTTCCAGCCTCAAGCACCTCATTAGCATTACACTAAGAGTGGTTGAACTATGAGTGTTTCCGCCAAAACTTATATTATCTGGGACCCAGTTATCACTAACAAAGCTTAATGAAAGTTTGCTTCCTGGTATCCATTAATAGTGTTCGTTTCATGTTCACCACATGCTAGTTACAAAAATAAGACCCTCTACATGCTACGGTACTTTTGCCAAAAGACTTCCAGGACAGACCCACGTCCCTTTAACCTGATCTTGGAATATCCGTTCTACTGTAACAACCTTCTCTCGTCTTCCATCTCGTAGTTGTCCATCTAACTACTCCCACTCGCCCAATTTAACATCTAACTCTTCACACCCATTCTTGGTGGCAATTTTTATATACATTGTGTGTGTGTGTGTGTATGTGTGTACATGCATGTTTATATGTTCATAAATTATGTATATGATAAAAATGTTTTGTAGTGTAGACACAGTGCAGGAATTAGTGGCTGACCGTACGTGTTACATCTATAGAACAAACACCACGTGAATCATGGAATCCTCTACGTCCCATCTAGAAATAAGGTCAATTCTGGAGGGCTCAAGCTATTCATCAGCAGTTTAGCAACAACCAAGAAAGCATCTGCTCCCACAGTTTAGGAATTAAGCTGCCCTTACATACCCTTTAATGGCCATTAACAACTTATTTTTGCATACAATTTTGCTGTATAATTTACAGTACTGTATATATTTGTTTATGTGCCAGGCACAATGACTATCACTGTCAAACATGCAAAATAAGTTACTTTTTTGCATAAAAGTGCAAAGAATTAACATTTGTTCATGACTACTTTCATATAGACGACTCATTCTTCAGCTGTGGTGTTCGGAACCTGAGAGTACCTCAGCTGTGGTGTTTAAAACCTGAGATTACCTCAGCTATGGTGTTCGGAACCTGAGAGTACCTCAGCTGTCGTGTTCAGAACCCGAGAGTACCTCAACTGTGGTGTTCGGAACCCGAGAGTACCTCACAAATTTTACCATTCACTTTATTCTTTATATAACACTACTTCACAAACCCTGGATATTCCAGTTTTATATTTTAGTGTTTACAACCAATTTTTCTTAACATAATAAGTTTGACAAATAAACTAAAGATGTGTATAAACACAGACCTTTAACAATACACAAACATGCCTTCGCACGCACAATAAATCACACGGCCCATCCTCATCAAAAGTCCTCGCAGACACCGGCATGTATACTCAAGATGCAATATCAGTACAGGATGTGGTTCCCAATTGTAATACTTAAGATTGATAAGGCAGCGTGCAGTTCCTTAACCTCAACACACAGAGAGAAGCCTAAAGGTACCTGCACAATGCTTGTTCAACCATGGATGATGCATTGCACATAATTACTCAACTCCTATTCTGGAATTTTGCTTAATTTCTGCATCATATTTCAATCGTTCACTCATATATAATTATGAGAGAGAGAGAAGAGGTGCTCAAAAGTCTTCTCTCTCTTTCATTTATATAAATCATTACTAACCCAAACTTTGATTCCTTACTCCTGCTGCAGTGTGGCTGGTTGGTATGAACCATTACTCATTCATTCATTCAGAATCATTCAGTTACTCATCATAGCAATGTGGTTGATTGGTGCAGACACATCACTTCCTCACACTGGTGCAGTGTGAATGGTTGGTACACACATGCCATTACCTCACACTACTAATGCCATTTTAAGAAAGTATCCCTAACCAATTAAAAACTCTCAATATCATATTTCTGTATTAACATTCAAGTATATTTTCAAATCATTTATAAGCAAGTCAATTTTAAGAATGATTTCATTGCAATTTCATTATACTTTATTACTGGAAAGCAATGATACAATGGTTATACTTAACAGCCTTCAGCCTCACTTCAATCAAGTACAGTACTGTATTCGGTAAAAATAAGGACAACGATTGAATATATTCTTCTAATGCCGGGATCCTCTGGAACACTCAAATAAGACTTGCCAACACTTTCTGGCTAAACACTAAACCACTAAACTTAAAAAAAAAGGTAATTATATATATATATACTGTATATATATATGTATGTCGTACCTAGTAGCCAGAACACACTTCTCGGCCTACTATGCAAGGCCCGATTTGCCTAATAGACCGAGTGATTTTCTTTATTTTCAATAAATTGTTTCCAAATAGTTTATTTGAATTATTATTATTATATTATATTAAGAACATAAATTATTGACTTAATTGTATTAGTTTAGGTTAAGTTAGGTTAGGTTAGGTAGGGTTGGTTAGTTTTGGTCATATATCTATGTTAGTTTTAACTCAAATTTAATAAAAATTAGTTCAAACGTAATGAAATGAATAGCATCATTTCATAAGAAAAAAAATGAGAAAAATATTGAAATTCTGGAAAACATGGCTTATTAGGCAAATTGGGCCTTGCATAGTAGGCCAAGAACTGCATTCTGGCTACTAGGTACAACATATACTGTATATATATACCAGAATATGATTTAAATATTTTTTATTAATATTTATAAATACTCTAGTTCAAGGCAGATACACTGTTAATTGTTCATTGTTAAAATGACAATGTGGCCTGAGATAAAACGTACACGGAACCCTTAGGTTGAGCCTTTGACGAGCAACACATCATTGGGTCTTGCTAGCATGCACACATACTCGTTCTGCAGTGGCTTGGAAATCTACAAGAATGGACAGAGGCTATACAGTACATGTCTTTGGTGCCCTTCATGACTGCAACAATAAAGGGACAGCGGCTGCAATCCACAACCGATGAATTGTTGACACGTCCTATGACCGAGGTAGGAAGCGAAGCGCTGGTCCGCACGTCGGCCTACGAGTTGAAGTCGGTCCTAACTGCCTAATGGTTACTTGGTTTGATTCGGTGACTTAGGAGTAGAGTTTAGATTAAGCTTTCTTGTATGTGACTATCATCATTCTTATTTTACCTATAAGGTGTGGAAAATAAAAAAAAACATAAAAGTACAGTATGCAGCAGTCCATATTTAGAGTTATCTAAATGTAAACTGTGTGATCTTTTATAAGTCATTCTGTGCAGACAATAAAATGGTAAGAAAGTAAGTGAATGCCTCATCTGTCAGCAAGACACACTGGTAAGGATAATGTACAGTATTAGATACTTACTGAACACAGCCAATGTAACATTCTCCTACCACGTGCACATTTTGAGACCTGCTCAGTGAGACAGTGAGGAATATATTATACATCTGTATTCTTCTTCAACAAAGTACTGAAGAAAGTTTGATCAAGGTATCTTTTCATCACTTGCCCTCCATCACACTTCCATGACTCATATCGGGTAGAAACGCACGGACAAATGCACTTCTCGCCAACAAAACCAGGCCATACAGAGAAGAGACAGAACACTATACTAACCATTATAAACATAACAGGCAGGTATGTAAGGCATGTTATACAGGCTCCTGCAACTTCTCAACTGTTGCTACATCCAATGCAAACATTATTAGGAGCCTCACGTAAAGCAGTATAATGCATTTTTTGAATGAAAAGGAGCAACCACATAACAATGTCACAGACTTGATGAACTTCTACGTATCACTTGGATGTGCTTGATGCAATAGGAATGAATAAACGAGGAGAATCACACTAAAGATTTATACAAAACGTAATAAGCTTTAGTACCTTCAGCCACATCTGTAAATACATCTGCACATCATTTCCCGCTCTTTCAGTTTCTGAAACGCAATGAGTAGGCGTCGTCCATCAGTTATTTATCACATCACTTAAAACAACGTTATTTAAAATCGTTTATTAACTTAAGAGTTAATCTTTCACTATGCATTAAACCTATGCTCTGTTCCATCTGCCATCATGTGGACAACAGTTTTGTTTGAGATCCACACCAGCTTTGGAAGGCGCTGAGGGTTCATACGTACAATATCTGGAACCAGTGCCGTGGAGAAAGTCTTCGTACATTTAGTTTGTGATGCACCCAATCCAAACATCCCTGACGATGTCTGAAACGACATGAAAAGTGTATTCTTTATAAAGTTATTCTTTATAAACAGGATGTAAAAGTTATTTTTAGAATTTTGTACCAAAAATTGATGCTTTATTAATTGAAAGGACATCATACTTAAACATCATACATATTGAGACAAAATATCAAACTTTGGATTGAAATTGAAATAAAGTTTATTAAGGTATCAAGACACACAAAGAGATGAGGTAGCTCAAGCTATTTACACCCCATTTAGTACAGCGATATACTGATATACATATACTGATATATATATATATACACTCGTCACAAATAATCAACATACAGTGTTACCAAACATTCTGGTTGATACACACACACATTTCTTCTTTGCACGTGCAGTAAATGTACACAAATGTACACATAAATACTTTTATGACCAAGTTCTGAGACGTAAGTTGCAATAGACATTCAGACAAATCAACAAAAGGTATAAAATTCTTATATCTACAGAATATTGTTAATCTTTCCATTGTTTACCTAGGATAGTTGTGTAGCCGAGAACAATGAGAGCTGATAATCACAATAAACTTGTTTATGACCAATGTATGCTCAAACAAATGGTTACCAAGGTTACTTGAGCATAGCCCATTTATTGCCTACATTTTCTATGTCACTTATCAGACAGGGGTAAGGTGCGTGGCTGGGAGTTGTTCCTTGATCGATGGATCAAATCACCTCATTGCTCAAATTAATTTTGCTATTGATATAGATCACGTTAGTGTGATTTCTTTGGGTATATGAGTGTGGTCTTCAGTGATGGTAACCACATCATTTGCTTGTGATATTTTGTAATCATCCAAGCAGTTATAGTTACAGTGGATGGAAAGTACAAAATATGGACTGATGTACAAAAACGTGGCCTCGTTTAGGTGCTCTTGTTATATTAGTATGCTGTAATAAAACTGTAGGAGCCTAGCATGTTCTAGTTTTAAATAAGCAATATTTAATGCATGCAATCTTAGGCACAATTTAGTCCTTATATGTTGAATATTAGGCCTAGGACGTAAGATTTGATTATTACCTTCTTTCTTGGGCTCTACAAAATTGCTAGTACAAAATGTAGAATTCTTTTGGGGGTGCAATAATTTATATTCTGTAAATTCCATCTACAAATGCTAAAAGTTTTATCAATTTTGGATGATGGATCAGATTTTCCATGATACTAGGAAGTCTTCCTAAAGTAGTTCCTCTATTGGTTAAAAGTGAATTCTTCCTGCTTTGTAAGGAGGCTCACTACAGCTTCTCCAGTATCTCTTCCCTCCATCCTATCCCAGCTTTTGTTCCCATATCCCTTCCAAGTGCTATATAGTCATATTGATTTCTTGCAGGGTCAGTGTTTGATCCCCCAATGGGCACTATTCCTTCATTCCGTCCTCATACCACAACTCCTTGTCCTTGTATCCCAAGTGCTATATAGTCACACTGGCTTAGCACTTTCTCATGTTAGAGTAATTGCCTTACCATTTTGCCACATGAGTCAGTAAAAAACAATTTATGATGATAAATATCCAATGATGAATTCACAGGCACTTGGAAAGTGAGCAAAAATCAATTCTAACAACTAAATCTTCTCTACACAACTTACCTGCCAAAAGGAGAGCTTGTTTTCTCCCATAGAGTATGAGGCTAAGTATTTGCCATCAGGAGAGAATGACAGGGCAGTCACTGATGAACCGTGTGCCGCAATCATCTATAAACAAAATAATATTATGAAAGGTGGACTGAGGTACTGGTTCAGCACTGGTTAATAAGACAGTCTCGGTATCAGTCAAATTAGAAAGTATCAACAGAAGGTACCTAGCCTGGAAGACTCTTTAGCACCATGTACAACCACTGGGACTGGTCAGTACAGTGACTACCTCTTTTCTTGCAGGTCGCTGTATGATTCCTCATGATCTAAATGGTTGGGGATAATTCTTTTACACATCCCCCTTCTTATATCTATCTATCCCAGTGGGTACAGCAGCAATACCAATTCCATGCCGAATCGTCATCAACATTGAATTAACGATGATAACGTTGATAATGTGAGAATTAATCTAAGTCTTTTAAATTCCACAACAGCACGTTAATTTGAACACTTCTGTTAATAAGCATCTAAACTGAGGTGCATTATGTGTGAGGACAGGTTACTTGCAAAATAAAATCTTAATCTCATCACCTCACGTTAAAGATCTTAAAGTTGTCAGTGAAAATTTTGTCTCGACTAACTAGTTCAAAACATATTTTACTGTAATATGTTTTGCGAGTATATTTAATTCCATTTACTGTATATATTTTCAAGTGCCATAGAGTTGTGAGCAATGGATGTGGGTTTATTTTCACTCTGCTTGAATGACCATGGCCAGACCTTTTTCACGATCATTTCTAGTGTAATGAAAAGGCGAGTGTTGATAAACATTCATCTCGTATTTAACACAAATAAGAATTTTCCTCACGCTGTTGCAATTACTATATGAAATTGATACTTAAATGACTTCTATAACTATTATTAGTCAGCCACACCTTGATATAGTACAGTACTTTTAAACAGTTGTGCAATTTTAGTGTTAAGACCATCACTAACCTGACACTTGTACGCTCGTAGTTCATACATCGCAATATTGCCATTTTTTGCCCCAGTGGCAATGCGTCTGGTGTGTGGACAGTGAGATACTTGGGGGAAGCCACAGATGGAAGGGAACACCTCGTTGAGCCCTCGACTCTTTAGATGGCCTGAATCGACACAGTGTAATACTATATCCATCACCTGTAAATAAACACATTTCATGTTATCAACAATGTATAATATTACATCCATCATAACCCAACTGCAAACTGTCATGAGGCTGGAGAAGTATTTTGACCAGAGACAAAAGTCCAGTATACAAACACATGTCTAAGACTTCCTGATGTTTCCACATTAGTTCAAGACCTCACAATCACCATTGGTTCTGAACCTCTTGACAGAATTTAATTTTCTAACTTTGGGGAAAAAAAAAAAAAAGATAAAATTTTTTGTATGAGTATAAAAAGAAAAACAGCTTTTAAGTAATGAAATGGCAATTTCTGGGCACGGCTCAGTGGCTTCCTGAAGTTATCACCGATAGTGTGCCAACTACTAGGTCACATCAGTTGCAGAGTTCTATAGGCCTATCAGGGACCAGCGCCAGAACCTGGCCCCCTCTCACAAATGCGCAGGGAGTGTTGGCATTTATTTATTTATTTATTCCTTCACATAAATAAATATGCCTATTTATTTATGCTGCTACCTAGAAAACACAAAACAGTTCCTTCCTGAGAAGCCCTAACAAGAGGCTCTCAAGAAAGAGCCATATTGGGAGAGGAAACCACCATAGGACCCAGGGCCAAAGTTATCACTGACCCAATAAGCAGTATGGAGGCAGACAGACTGAACCCTGCCACACAGCATGGACAACAAGCAGCCCTGAATGTATTGCATGAATGCTCATACAGGCAAAAACAGGATCGGAGGGATACCCACTGGACCTTCTGCATGGAATTTCCAGGGCCTGAAACACTGACCAAGCAGGACACCTAGGCACTGGAACACTGAATCTATACTGGCAGAAGCTGAAATATAGAGATGACATAGCAAGCTGAAACAGGAGCTGCTTGTATGGCTGTGAAGGCCTACTTGGGCATGCTATAGTGTGGCACATGAATACCCAGTGAGCCCCAATCCAGCCAACATCACTCCCGACCTGAGTGAAGGCATGGAAATGCAAAGACATATGACTCACCCTGGGCAAGGGCCTTCAGAAGCTAGGAGGACCTCTAAGGAAGCAGGCTCTTGAACACCCCAGGAAAGGAGAACCTAAAGGTGAAAGGGCAGCACTCGGGACAAAACAAGGAAGATAACCCTGTGCATATGCAGCTCTCAGCACTCATGATGTCAAGGCTCGTGCAACACTGTACAGGTACAGGAATGCCCACAAAGGTAAATACACCATGAGGCAGCAACAGCAAAAACTGGAGCCTAGGCAGCAGATATGCGACCAGGCACACACTACACATCAGCATAGGTGGTACAGACAGCTGACTGCAATCTACCTCCCTCCATCCCCGAAACAATTGGGGGAGGTGGGGTGAATGAGTGTGTGCTAGTTTGGAGAGGTTTTGATCATTTGTTAACATAGATGAGGGAGTTTTTCAGTGTTTCTTGAGGCTGCAGTCTCCAAGCCAGTAGTGGTCTGTTTTGTCTCACTGACTGACTGGTTGCTTCCCCAGTGGTGGCATAAATAAGTAAATAAATGCCACCGCTCCCTGCACCTCTGATCAATTATTGTCTGGGTTTTTACATGTATGATGCACATAAGGATTTAGTAGCTCTACGTGAATGTAATGCAGATGATGAGTCACAATAACTTGGCTGAATAATGGTGACCAAACTACACACTAGAAGACGACGTTTTAGTCCATCCTGGACCATTATCAAGTCGATTGTGAAGAGACAAGGGAGGCACGGGCATAAGTAAGGCAAGAGAGAGAGGTGAGAAGGAGGAAATCTTAAAGGAAGGTAAGAGCAAGGTGAAAGATAGGTATAATAAAGGGTATGTAGGTGGTAATAATAGGAGTAAATGGGAACAAAAGAGAAGTAAAAGAAAAAGTAAGAGAAAGAGAAAAAAAGATGGGTAGGGTTATGTTAGGTCACATTTATTTAGAACATTTGAGTATGTGCTGTGAAAGGGAAGAGTCAACAGCAACAAAGCCAGGACTCAGGTTCATGTTGTGTATCAGAGCCGATTTGACAAGACGGTGTCTGTGAAGAGTAGAGGCAGGAAAAATTATTTTAGAAGACCAATCAATAGGATGATTAGAATGTAATGGTGTTTATCTACACCCATGAAAAATCCAGCAATTGTTTCTTGGTTACATTACTATGTGAATGGGGTTATCAAAAATGTTACTAGGTGAATGCAGTCATCATAAAATTCTGTCATAATTACATGATATGTATACCAATGATGATGATGTGGGTTTCACAACTCTATATGGTTGTAATGAGGTAAACCAAGTAAACCATATATCATTTGAACTACTGTCTTGTCTTGCACTACGTGTACTGGGAACCTGCTCTCATGTGTGGTGGCACACTGGTGGCTTACACCTCTGTCTCACTCTATACTCTTGCCCACATGGTGCCATATTAGGCCCTATGTCATTGTCCAGAGCCCACAACCCATGTGCATTATGTTGATATGGTTTTTCACTACTCTATACTGTTCTAATGAAGGTAAACCAATCATTAATTGAAACATTATCACAAGTACATCATAATGTACTGTGTGAATTATGTGATTTATGTAGTTATTCAACACACACATACACCTGTAAGTAAGGAGAAACAAGTGATAAACAATCAACAACACATACAAGCAGAACACAGGCGTCGTGTCTCGCATACATTAGCGTCAGCAAAGTCAGCACTGTGTGCTGACAGACACCACACCACGTAGCCACTGTGCAACCTTTCACAGCACATCCACCCAGTAAAAATGTAAATATTCACTTTTTATGTTATTCTTACATTTTGCATACAAATTAATAATTCTATAATGAAAAATTATTTTTTAAATTTTTTTCCGCATAGAAGGGTATGATAATTTTTCCCATACCCGCTGTCCAAGGGTTAAGAACTAACACATAAATATTTAATACCCGGTATATCCATGAATATAAGGTTAAAATATAGAGCCAGCAGTCATACCTCGACCATAAGATCCATAATGTGGCATCTTTTATGAATGATGAGGTACTCCATTACTCGAAGAATCTCTGTTTTGGCACGGTGAAGGACTGTGTTGTGGATGTTCAGCTGCAAACTCTGTGCATTTTGCTGCAGTGCATTAAAACGGGCCACTTCCCGGGCCATAGTTGTGATAAAGGCCGGGGGTCTGGCCTCGGCAATCAGCGTCAGTGCATTAGAAGCTGTGCGACAAGAGTCAGCTTCTGGTATGAGAGGCAACCCATACTTCATGCTATGAGAGAAAACATGTAAATTATATTATGAATGAAGACTATGCCATCATATTAACTATGTATTGGAAAATAAAATATTGTTAAGAAATCTGCGCTTGGCCCAAGATACTGGTAGTGCCCAGAATTCGTAAGTGGGGCAAAAAGGGTTAAAAATTCCTCTGTGGATTTGCCAAAGGTTTAACATGGCACTAATACCGTGAATGCTAGCCTGCCTGGCTGCCCTGTTTAGCTTCCCCATTTATAGTAAAATCTTACCTGAGAGTCAAACAAGTGCAATAGTGATGTATACCTCAGCCACAATGAGGAAAAGGACACCTAAACAGAATTTAAGTTATGAATGACAAATGTCAAAGCATGAGAAAATTTTTGAAGCAGGATGGTGGGATTGAACCAGCGCCGTGGTGCAATCCCACTATTCTGCTCCAAAAGTTTTCTCATACATCTATCAAGTTATTATGAATTCATTGTGTATCAGAGAATGTTCCTTGCATCAAAACAAAATTAAAAGTCACAGTGGTGACGTACCTGGGAGCCAAGCGGTCAGTATCAGCACACAAGTCCAGCAGCGCTAGTAGCACCTGAAGCAAACAAGTGCCAAATAAATGTCATTACTTGTTGTAAAAGTTACATCTCTTCCTGACTGAACGACACTACTTTATCTCATACTGTCTTATGAAGCATCTGCTCTATGCACTAAAACTAACGCAGTCATTGTCTTTAGAGGAAGGTATCACTTGAGTGATAATTGGTCTCATACTCTCATAGTAAATAAAATGGAGGGAAACAGAGAGGACAAAATAAAGGACTTAAGAAAGTATAATGAAAGTCAAAGCTATACACTAAAGAAGAATGGGTGGAAAGGAAGGAGACAATGATGACAATCAAAGAAAAGAGTGAGAATGACAAAGGAAATAGCAAAAAAGCAGAAGGCAAAATTCTGAGGAAACATTTGCAGTTTGTCAAAGAAGCAGTTAGACAATTGTTTTCACAGACTGAAATTATCAAACAAACAGAGCAGCGCAATAAAGTGGAAATGGACCAATATAAATAAATAATTGGCCATAAATTTTCAGAGCTTGAAAGCGGAACATAGCATAAGAGAGACTCGTAAGCCTGGAGTGTGATAATAAACATTCTACAAACAGTAGGTGTGACTGCAGCAACTCCAGAGTTAGAGCCATCAAAGAATAGAAAATAATAAGTCAGGTCATTTAAATCCCATTAAGCTAATATTTGGGTTTAAAATGCCAGTGGAGTACATGCTGAGGGAGGCAGATGAGACGAGTTAAAAGGGAAAGAGAGCGGCAAGAACTGAAAGTCTAAGGAATAATAGTCTCAGGATATATACAAGCCTGTTACTGATCTCGGCCAGCGATGCATCGTGATCTTCATCACTTGTTACAATTCGTTAGTCATTACCCACTACCCAGCCATTCACCATAACACTCAGTGGAGAGAGGTATGACCCCTACTCCATACCCCCTCCCCTACACATACTCTTTAAACAAGTACCCAGCAACTTGGTAGTATTCATCACCATTGTTTATCTAACTGACCATGGGGAAGCGAGGTCTAGCTCTTTATAACTCACATACTAGCCTTGTTGTATCTGGGTCCAACTATCAAAGTTGGTAAAAATAGGTCTATTATATAAAACTTTAGGCAGAGAAGATCCTAGGTATCTGAAAAGTGTCAAACTTTGTACCTACATTTAAGAAAAGGGTGATCAAGCAAGAAGCCTTAAATTACAATCTAGTATCCATGACATGCATTACTTTTTAAAATTGCAGAGAAAGTAATCAGGATGAGGAGTGAAAGGAGTGAACAAATACTGTAATAGCACACATGTAATAGCACACATTTGTCAGCAAGAAATTTGTTTAATTGTTTGTGTAACCCAAGTAAAATGTTTACATATTATCCAAGAAATCCTGGAGAGTCCTATGCCTGGGTGACACGGGGGATGACAGCAAAGAGAATACAAAGTGCTATATAAAAAAGCCACAAACCGAAGTCTCTCGCTCCACCATACGAAAGTAACAAACTCCAAAAGAATTACGATAAACAGAGACGAAGTCCAAACACAAAACAAACTACAACAAATACAACACTTGCATTAGTATAAATATTCATAAATAAGGCATCAATGCAGAATTTGTACCACGAACTCACTCCACCTTACACCAGCACACACACACAATAGAGGTAATTCTTAGCACCATACAGAAAACTTCCATTACAGTCCAACTCATACTAAGCCCATACACCATACAAAGACCCAATACAACACACTTACATTGCCTTATACCATACACTTATGCCACCTCATACCATATACTAACACCACAATTCAAAACAAAGACATTCACAAAAATCCCTTTACTGTAAGCTATATACCCATACCAAACAATTAACACAACACCACTGTACGTCAACAAACCTACCTTCGCCACATCCAGGTATGGCTCCCAAACGGGGAACCCTCGACCTATTAAATCAATTGCTGCTCTTCTTAAGGGTGTGTGTGATGGTAGCTTGGGAACTGATGGAGCTAATACTAAATAGGCAAGAGCTTTACCTGGGGGAAAAAAAAAGACAACTTTAATCATGTGAAAAGAGTCCATTAAGGAATACGAGAGATGTATGAATGCATTGAACTATAACTTGGATATATATGATCTGCAACGTGAGGTTCATTATTTTAATCAAAACAATGAGTTAATTAACAATGCAAAATACTTTCCATTTTTAAAAATGTTATTGCTAATAAATTACTGGGAGTGCCTCAAAAAGTCTTGTGTTGAAATACCTTAAATTTTGAAATAAAAATAAAAAAACTTTAGACAGTCATAAATATTACAAACAAAAAGCAAATATGCTTTAGAAACAAGTACATACAGTAATTTAATTAGGCAAAAATCAAATTAGATTTTAAGCACAGCAATATTTTTTTAGATTGATATCATGTACTCTCCATTTCCTCCTTACTTGTTTGCATGGCAAGATTCCCAAGGCCAAAACCTTCAGCCGAGTCCTGACCATGGTAGGCGCCGATGACTCCGAGCAGGATAATAGCAGTCGCCTGTTTTCTCCGACCTTCTGACTGGGCTACCAACTCCCGACACGTCTCTCCTACTATGATGAAAACGTACCAGTGCTAATACAAGTCTTTATACACACAAAGTACTGATAAGGTGAACAAAGAGAAGGTGTTTTAAAGAATAGAACCAGGTTGAGGAAACATTTGGAAACTAAATACCTAAGTAACCCAGATACAGTATATATATATATATATTCTATATAAGAATAAATTCTTTGATGTGAAAACACAATGGTAAATAGGTGATGAAGCAGAGACAGCAATCTCTTAAAAAATTTAAGCATAACAATACCAAAAATCTACTACTTTACAGCACACACACATTAACAAAATGATGCCTAAGGCTACACATATTATGTCCATGATTCCTTATTTAGGCCAAGGACAAATTAGTTTAAGTTGATAATGAAGTTATTGCAGTGTCTGTTACAGGGCCTTTAGTATAACAAGAGTGCAAAACGTGATTGTTTTGGTGCAACAATCCATATTTTGAACATTCCTTGCATAGTTTAGCCACTGTAGTTTGTAGAAAATGGGTTGGATAATTAAAGATTCCCAAAGCATAAAATGAGTTAAGGATTACCAAGCTCATTTTCAAGGGCATGAATACAGTTAAAAGCAAATTCCAAATAACAGTACTGCATTTTGAGCTTACCATCCATCTCCTCATCATAATGGTCCTCATCAAGTTGAGGATGTGGCTCCATTGTCCGCTCATTGGTGGAAACACCACTGTTGCTGTTCACACTCGTTCCGTTTGTTGTGGCATTCACGGCAGGTGTCCCTGAAGTGCTCTGTAACACAACACCCAATATCTTATACTTTGATGCTACATAATGTATGCCAGTATACTATGATTTCCTCAACCTGGTTATTACAATACACATAAAAGATCTCTGCAATGTATGTGAAGCGTATTTCCATATTCAACCCCTTTTTGAGATCTTTCAGACCCAGGTAGTCAGGACATATCCAACCTCCGTGTTATCATTGCTCTAAATCAACAACAATTACCACACACTCCACATTTATGCAGTCACTATTATAACCAGGCAAGAGGATTATACCTGGAGACCTAATTAGTATCAGGGATCATGAAAGACTATTGGTCATGACTAATATTCATAAACCATCATTAAGTAATATCTCCTGCCTCTCGTGAACAGTGGCAGCCAAGTTCACGTGTTCCACTCACATTTCTCAAACTCATATTTGAGTTTGAGAAATCACAATAATGTGAAGCAACTATTCAAAATTTTAAAAAGTATAATATTGTGAAATTCAAGCTGGGATTTAAGATTTACCAAAGATGTAGGGAGGATTACATAACCAGTGCACAACGAAATCACGATACTGTGATACATCTGAGAAAATCTTTGGAGCAGAGCAATGGAATTGAATTCACACATCCAAGAACACCCAAAATGGCCACATTACTCAAGACCACAATAGGTTTAAAAGCAACACAACCTATGATAAACAGTGATTTGGACAACACTTAAAACCTTTCATGATCCATAAAACCAAGCAGTTCTTTAACTGTATTTTTTACACCTGTCTGGAGTAGTGTTAGTATATGAACTAGTACATCTTAGATCCTAGTTGAGAATTATACCTTAGTGGCGGGATGCTCAGGTCGAGGAGAGTTTTGAGCATCTTGATTATTATAATTTGTTGGTCCAGTGGGAAGAGGTTCAGTATGCGTTGGTAAGTGTGGTGACCATACTTCTACCAGCTTCTGCCGACCATCAGGACCCATACGAGAAAGCTCTGTCTTCAAGAGAGCCTGTGCTGCTTCCCTCACCTACAACAAATTAATAATGTGATAAATAATCAATAAATTTATAAAATAATAAATTCGGTCTCTCGAGATTATGTCTCAAGACATTAAACACTAAAATCTTGTAGATAAACATTAGAGCTGTATTAAAAAATATGCTTCACATAATTATTAACATAAATTTTTCAATGTATGCAATACTTTTACAAGATATGCTAAGTTTACTGTGACTTTGTTACATACCTTCAATACCAAAGGTAACTCAGATATAGCAGAAATTGATTGATTGATAAAATACCACATCTAAGTGTAGTAACAAAGAGCTCATTACACAGAGTAATCACACTATAATGATGCATCAATGAGAAAATCCATCGGAGCTGTGATGAGGGTTTGAACCCACGTGGCGGGTGTTCCCGGGCACACGCTCTAGACAACTAGGCCACAACATGGAAACATGGAAATGTCGTGGCCTACTTGTCAGGAGCATGTACCTGGGAACACCCAGCGCATAGGTTCGAACCCCCCATCACTGCTCCTACAGATTTTTTCAATGAGGTCATCTGTGTTGTGTAAACACAAAATTCATGCAACCTATAGATGAAGTAAACTTTGACCCTACTTCCCAATGGAAAAAGAAAAAAACTATACGGAACAGGACTCCTGTGTCCCTAGACCACAGGACCCCCTGTGGTCCTAGACCACAGGACCCCCTGTGGTCCTAGGGCCAGAGTCACGAAGCAGTTACGCAAGCACTTACGAATGTGTACATCTTTCCTCAATCTTTGGCGGCTTTGGTTACATTTATTAAACAGTTTACAAGCATGAAAACTTGCCAATCAGCTGTTGTTATTGTTATAAACAGCCTCCTGGTGCTTCGGAGCTCATTAACTGTTTAATAATTGGAAACAAAGCCACCAAAGAGTGAGAAAAGATGTACAGGTTCATAAGTGTTTGCGTAAGTGCTTTTGTGAATCTGGCCCCTAGACCACAGGACCCCTGTGGCCCTAACCCGCATGCCTTATCATTATACAATATAACACTCTTAGTCTCTCTGCTATGCATTAGCCAGAAGAATGACACTGAAGTAAAAAAGCACAAAGTTAGAAGTAGACTTAAATAAAGATAATATTTTTTTTATGTAACAGCCTTATCAACAATGGTTAGATTTGATGAAATTCTTACAGGCAAAGTATCATCTTCATGATGACTACAGTGCCATGATCTTGGCATTTTTCTATGTCAGCAGAGGAGGCTGCGATCCCTCCCACCGCTGAACCCCACATTCCCAGTGACACACAACAGAAACAACAGAAACCAATATATGGGGTTGAAATATTATGAAGAATTAATATAGGCATTTGCATTCATGCTAAAACACCTGATATGCTAACTAATCCACATATATTGTCTATGACTTAGAATGACATCTCAAAACCCCAATTACAACTGTAGTAAATAGGCAGCAAGCATATTACATATCCAAGCAGGAATGAAACTGACAGCAATATCAAAAAGTTTCACACACATTTTGATTTTTGTTTATGCTTCTAACTTTTTCTCGCTATTCTTCACAAGGCTGATGACTATACTTTTTGAAAGTGAAAACAGGTTAATGATAATCAAAAATTAAATTAATCAACATAAGTATCAGGAATCTATTAGGAAAGTGGGTACAGCTCAGTATTATGCAAGTCCAAAAAACTTTATAAATTATATTAAATTATTGAACAGATAGCCATTACACAAGAGTTCTCCCTAAATCTGTCAACATGCACAGGTGAATGGTACCTCTTGGCAGCGATCTTGCCATCTGCGAGCAAGAATTTCCACCATGGGAGGTTGGTAGGCCGGGGCTCCAGAAGCCACCACACAGTCAGGGAGGAGAACTGTGTGCAGAGCTGTCAGTGTTGACCAACCTTGTTTTATCACAGACTGTTGCCGAGAAAATTCATCTTCATGGTTGGTCGATGATGGGTTGGCTTTGGAGCTTTGGCTGTAAAGATGGACAAATGATGTATTTTTCAATATATGACATACTACGATGTGTGCAGTGGCGTGTATTCTTAAGAGGAAAGTTAAGCACTGCATACACTATCAAAATTATTCCTTTCCAAATTAAAATATCTTTATTTAATTATTTATTACATATAATTTAATTCAATTGTATATAGTATTCAGCATTTTTGTTTTGGTCTCAGATTTTCAAGTGGCATTTGCCAATTTAAAATCTGTTCCTCAAATATGCAACATTTCATTTGCAGTAATCTTGTTCCATCCTCTTGAAGAATAACATGATATGCCCCCTGCCAGACATAAGATGAAAACAAATCATTTAACTTTTGATACTCCCCTGTTTCCAAAACAATGTAAATAAGGTTCAGATCAATCTACATCTTATGGAAAGCAAAGCATCCTGATGCTTTAATGTCTCCTCAATAATATTTGTTATTATCAATGAGTATAATTAACTTTGCTAAAGATTTCGACAAAGTAAGCACAGTGTCCTCCCGGGTCCTCCCCAACTAGTAGCAGCGGAGGGGTTGGCACCCCTATACCATTACCAGTTCAATAAATTAAATCATAAATTCATATACGTAATAATAATAATAATAAAAATTTTGTGTCTCTTTTACAGTTTCAGCGTCTATTAGAATCATTACCATAGTACAGTACAGGTAATTGAATGACAATACTAACATTTTGGAAAAATATAGTCAGTTAATAATGGTAAACTTTTAAATCTGTTAAGAGTTCATTTTGAAAGAGATGGTATTACTGTGAGAGGTTACCGTTATCTGGTTAACTTAAGAAATTCTGTTGACTTTCAAGAGGTGACTTGATGGTGCACTCATTTATTTGGATTTATTACCCCCAAACTGAAAATGTAGTCGCAGTGTGTAAAGCACCTATTGCTGGGCATGTCATCTGTTTTCAAATTATAAAAATGTATGGAATACTTGTGAATATAAAGATTTGTCAAATACTGTATATAGAATCACTGTAGGAGCTTCATAGCAGGCCAGAATTTTACAACAGTTATCGATTAATTTGCCCATAAGCCAATAAGAATTTCATTGAATAATGTTTAAAATGGTAAGAAGAAATATCTGATGATACTACTGTACTTCCTATTTTATATGTTAAATGAATTAATAAATTGTTTTATTAATATTCATACTTGGGCTTTATCAAGGACCTTAACAGCATCATTTACTTAACCTAACATTTTGTCCCGACAGTCACTAAACATACCGACGTACTATGCTCATCATCTACTACTAGAATTCATAAGAGAGAACAGTGGATCTGATGACCTTCCTTCTCCTTGAGTGATTCTAACCACCTATCTTGAGGTTATCTTGAGATGATTTCGGAGCTTTTTAGTGTCTCCGCGGCCCGGTCCTTGACCAGGCCTCCACCCCCAGGAAGCAGCCCGTGACAGCTGACTAACACCCAGGTACCTATTTTACTGCTAGGTAACAGGGGCATAGAGTGAAAGAAACTCTGCCCATTGTTTCTCGCCGGCGCCTGGGATCGAACCCAGGACCACAGGATCACAAGTCCAGCGTGCTGTCCGCTCGGCCGACCGGCTCCCAGACCTACCAATATTTGTCAAAGAAAACATTAATGTATTTTGTTATTTTTGTTCTTCAGTTTGCTTCTGCAGGTTTTGGTTCTATTTTTAATAGGACTCCAGAACTCTTCACTTTCACACCCTTCATATCTTCCTGGCAAACTTGTAAATAGTTATCCTAATCCCTCTCTCCATCTTGTCTTCTAATTTGAACCAGTATTCAGTATTGGCTCATATCCAACACTCATGTTTCCCCTAGCTGATGACTATGAACTCTGAGCCAATGTGTTGCGTGTCTTCATACGTCTTCTACTTTATACATTTTGTGTTAGTACTTTATGTCACACATCTCTCCATCTATGTTACTTCTTACATGTACCAACACATGCAACATATACTTTAGCAATAATGAATCTTTCTGGTGAAAAAACATCTGGTGGTATTATTCACAGTTCATTTCCTTTACCCAATTTTCTGAAGGTTACTCACACACTAACTGTCATGGGGCGTGTCACCACCATTATCAATCTCCGCTGCACACCGTGTGTCTGCAAGGAACTCTTTCATCCAAGCCTTCCTCCACTTAGGTACTTTATCTACTTCTATTTGCATAACTTTTCTAGATATTATAACTCTTCATTAAATACAAAATTCCAAACAAGTCATGTAAACGTCATGAAAGAAACCCGACTCACTGACTGCCTGATCTTGTGTACAAAACTTCTGGCGCAAAAACAATAATTGATTTCCTTCTGTAATTTCCCAGGCACCACATTACATTGCACTATTCTTCCAATTACATTGCACTAGAAAAGAGAGGAAGTAATATCTATTTAAGGGAAGAGTTTAGAAACACCAGACATGTGTTAAGGAGATCTTTCACTTTTGCAAACCAGTTTTCAAACAAAACAGGTACTATAAGATAAATATAAAAACTTTTAAAGCACATTTCATACACACATTCATACATTATGTACCTTTTGAAGTACAAAAGCAAGTATGCAAGTTTACAAGCAACATTTTTAAGTAATACACATTAAACAATACCTGAAATACAGTTTGCTGTAAGGTAGCCCAAAAAGGTTCTATCACACGAGTTGTGGAGAATGAACACATTTACACAATAGTCTGTACATCACCTATTCTCGTGATTTACCACTCCCTTAAAATAAAACTGTTTTGCCTAACCTGATATGCATGAAACCTGGAAACCCCGCCTAACCTAGCGAGGCCAATGTACAGGAAATATCAATATTACAGTGCTGTAATTTTTCCTAATACCAATGGATTGGTTACTGAACAAGTCATTGTAAAAGTCTAAAATTGTTTTAACACAGTCTTCTGCAAGCTAAGTCCTTCCTATACCAATATTCCCTTTAAATATAAGCTTATCCTTTATATTCAGCAAATTAAACGTCCAACATCAACTCACATGTGATTTTTGCGTCGCCGTTCCTGTTCAGGGATGAGCGTTGCAGCATTCATGTCCTGGAGTGTGTTGGCAACCGAGACCAGTGCCAGGAGGTGGTGGGTGGTGAGTGCCGGCGACACCTCCCAGTGCCCACGACCCGTGAACACCTAGAGAGCCCTCCTCTCATCAGTATTCCATGCACATTATCCACCTTGTTACATCTCAAACTGCTTAATTCAATTATCAGAAAACATGCCAAGCAATCTACAGTCTGAGTGTCAGGTGTAGAAATGATATGAACAACTTAATCAAATAAATAAAGAAATAAAATGTTTACATTGTCATATTATTAATACTTTTAAAATAAATAATGTAGCAAAATTTTGCAACTTTACATCCTATGATGATTTGTAAGAAATTTTAATAGTTAACCCTTAAATGGTTCATCTAATTAAAAATTGTACACTGTGGATCATGTGACAAATAATAGTTCACAAACTTAATGTAAATATATTTACATTTGGTGAATCAGGAGCTGGAAGTAGTCACAGAAAGTGATTAGAGTTCTTTAAGAGTTAAAAATCAATAATGAAGCAAAACTTTAGAAATGTCACATTCTGCTATCATCTGTGAGAAATTGTAATCATTAAAACGTAATGATCTCAGAATATTGATTAAAACATTTCAGTACCAACTAGATGAAGGTCACAGAAGTAATAAGCATTCTAGCCACTGTTCTAATACTCTTATGCAGGTGTATCTAGACCTTGTAACAGCACCAATGTTGTAACCTAGACCTTGTAACAGTACCAATGCTGTAACCTAGACCTTGCAACAGTAAAAATGTATTATCAAATGTATTTAAATATTTAAACCTGCATTCAGTCAAGTACATTTGAGAACATGTTTCTCATTCACCTCGACAAATATGGTGGATCACAGATGAAGTATATGGATCAGCCTTCAGTGTTTGTTACCAAGTCCTATGGTCTATATCCCTTTAGTATTATGCTTGAATAATGATGCACTTATTTAACAACATTCTGTAGTCATCTTTTATTACTTTTCTTGGCAAGATCCATAATAATTTAAATTAAATAAATACTTAAAAATCTGGATAGCAATGAGAAAATATAGAGTATGAGTGAAGAGATCGTAACTGCATCTCTGGACTCCTCAGGCACACTAAGCATTTCCCAGGAAGTGGGATCACTCCAATCGAATGGCCTTAATATTTTCACATAGATAAATCAAGTTCTTGTGATGATGTGCATCTGGATATCAGAGCACAAAAAAACAGTGTTGAATGTAATAAAACGCCATTTTCTAGGCAAGTCCCGGAGGCTCCTCGGAGCTATCCAGACTGATAGAGAGTCTTAACTTTTGGCATCAGTCGATGTGGGTGGAGTTCTAGGCCTACTGGGGACCACGGCCAGAAACTGGCCCCCTCAGAGAGGCACGAGGAGCAATGGCCTATAGAAATGCACATGTGATTTTGAAGCATTCTATATCGCCATCGACCGGGACAGGCACCCAAAAAGGTAAGTGCCCCAAAACAAACCCCTATTCTGGTAAAACCAATGAAAATAACGAAACAAATGGATAGAACTTCCCCAAGGGAAAACGAGCAAACAAGCATGACATCACACGAGACGCGCCACATGTCTGCGTAGCTTCCCCCTCCCTGGGAGGAGGAAGGGGAAGCCCCAGACCCATCCACACCTTCAGTTCCGAAGATGGATACCAAAATACGCGGAAACTACCGGCCGGAGGGAGGGAGGGTTGCCGGGGAGCCTCCGGGACTCACCCAGAAAATGGCGTTTCATTACATTCAACACTAGTTTTCTGGAGGGGAGCCCCTATGGCTCCCCAGAGCTACTTCACCAAAGACTAAGGAAAAAAAGGGGACTTACCCGGGAGGCGGTCGATGCTCCACACCTCAACTCGAAGTCGAGACAGGCTGCAGCTGCCGACCCAAAGTGACGCAGGCCCAACTACGCCCAAGAATGTTCAAGAGGTAGCGTGCAGCCAGGACCCTGTTCGACTGCCAAAAACCCCATGCCCGAATGTCAGCCCAAGACATGTTCCCAAAACAGCAAGAGCAGCGAACTTACAAATGTCATGGGCACGGGGATAGACCGCAGGCTGGCTAGACTTAATAACCCTGCGGATGACCTGAGAGTCCCGTACCCACGAACAGGGAAGAAGGGAAACTGGATCAACCCAAAGCGTGTCCCTGGACACAGAAGCCATGGTGCGCAAATAATGGCAGAGGGCCGCAACTGGACACAAAACATGATGCACCCCCGGCCTGACCAACCAAGTATCAACAATCCAAGGACCCGATAAGTAATATCAGGTACTATATAAGGGTTTGGTTTCCGGACCTCCTCCGGAAAGCAGTAGTCTCATTCTTCGCCAGAAAAGAAGGATAAGGCATCAGACGAACAAACCCATCTCTATGACCAAAAGAGCAGAAACCCCTGCGCCAGAGGACAGCATGAAGCTCCCCGACCCAACCCTCAGAAACCAATGCCTTATCCCATCAGCCGAGGAACTGAAGGTGTGGATCGCCGTCACAAAGGTCTAGTCGATGGCAGATATAGAATGCTCCAAAATCACATATGCATTTCTATAGGCCATTGCTCCTCGTGCCTCTCTGAGGGGGGCCAGTTTCTGGCCGTGGTCTGCGGTAGGCCTAGAACTCCACCCACATCAAGTGATGCCAAAAGTTAGGACTATCGCTATCAGCCTGGATAGCTCTGGGGAGCAGTAGGGGCTCCCCCTAGAAAACATAGAACTGTTTGAGAAAGCATAGCAAGGCATTCCTGAAGCAAATAAACAAAATGCACTAACAATTACATTACTTAAGAACACTAATAAAGGAACTTGCAGAAGGCCAAATGGCCCATGCCAATCATTATGTGAACAAGAGAGGTCCCAGGGGGTACTCTTCTTGCAATTGTTCCCTACTCAGATTTGACTATTTATGTTGATCCACATCTCTTTCATATAAGCTAAACATGCCTTGATTCAGTTTATGAGGCCCTCTCTAATGTTTGGGGTGGACGGTAGAGCGACGGTCTCGCTTTATGCAGGTTGTCGTTCAATTCCTGACCGTCCAGGTGGTTGGGCACCATTCCTTCCTCCTGTCCCATCCCAAATTCTATCCTGATCCCTTCCCAGTGCTATATAGTTGTGATGGCTTGGCCCTTTCTCCTGATAGTTCCCTTCCCTTCCAACACCAAGCATATCTCTGCTTTAATAATCTTTAAAGTTAAACAGAATCTAAAGCCTTACTAAAGTCTTAGATATTTAATATTGCCATCTTTACCACTATTACAAATATGTTTAAAGAGAATAGGAATAAATTTGTCCAAAGTGATTGGTCTTACTACTAGTTTACTCAACTTGTTACCCTAACACACTATAAATCGGATCAACTGTGCACATAGACAAGTTTTTCTCTAGTGAATTTAGAGATAAAATACTTGTTTAGAATACATTTCTGTTTCATTACGTGGTTAATGGCAACACTTGCAACCCTTATCCTCCAGCGGGCAATACAGTATGTAAAACAGACGAGCGTGAAAAAGCACTACCTGCGTTCTGTGCTCCAGCTGCACCATCTCTGGGGGAAGTTCAGCAGCCAGGTCGGGAGGTAAAGTAATTGGGGGCATATCTGCTTCTCGTACTGGGTGCCAGGTAGGCATAAACAGTGACATATACCCTGCAAATATAATAACGGCAACCATAGTGAAACAATAACAGAAAACGCATGTTGTACACACAAATTTTATATATATCTCAAAAACTAATTTTCCAGAAGTGTAATATTCTTGCAACATTGACTTTAATATGACTTGCCATATATTGTGGCAATGTTTTTGTTGGAAACTTGCTGTTTCCAACAAACTTGCCATTAAAGTGACTTTGGAAAAATGTGAAGACCCACAAGGTCTGGGCAGAGTGAGCCTGACTGACCAAAAATTAGCCTAGAGGAAGATAGGAGTCAGGAGACAGAGAAGTCTCCAACAACAGAGAAAAGTGCAAATAAATCTGAACAAATTAGACCTGTAACATTTCTCCAAACACGTGAAGCAGGTACATCAGCTACAGGGCTGACAGGTCCCTATGTCTGCACCAACAACGGCCAAATTTATGTACTGTATATAAGGTGGTGAGCTGTCTAGCAGAATGAGTATCAATACAGACCAGCCAGGAGTAACAACTCCTCTGACCAGCCTCGACCTAGCTGTCTCACCGATGGGCTCTGTCTCCAGGTTGTCCATATGGACCGCTGTGTCATGACACCATCTCACCAACCAGACTCTGCCTCCAGCTTGAATGTACTGTTATAATCTGCAGTGTCTCAATGCCATACGCTAAACTGTACATTTTATCAAATATATAGTGTTGACCGCAATATTGTGTTTACTGTTCTTTTGAGAGGTTGTCATAAAAAATCTAGACCTCTAAGCATAGCATAAGGAGTCTAGACCTTGAACTGTAGTAAATTGTTTATGCTACACATGAATGTGAAGGTTAATAAAAATAAAAATCACAATCTGGGTAACTTACCAGACTTGGATATAAGGCCATAAGAAACTGGAACTCTGGGTTTGAGAAGACCAAGAATGTTTTCACAAGTGTGATCCAATGATGGGTCAAGACCCCAGGAGTGCAACAATGACATTAACATCTGGCCAATCTGCAAGGTCTGTGCCGTAACGTCTAGGTGTCTTGGGATCTGCACACGGCCACTGCCACTCCCATCTATGAACAAAAACACGTGTGTTAAACTAACAGCATTGCAGCACTAGCTTTCATAAAATGATAAATATAAACATCGGGAAACATCCCATTACTGTACTACAAAACATAGTTACTAAATGCATTACTTCATTATAAAGCAGGCTAAGCAGTTAAGACAGTACAATAATTAAATATTAAAAAATGTACATTTTAAAACCAAATTGCATATGGTAAAATTTTCAAACTAAATTACTAACACCTTGTACCAGACAATACAGTACTGAATAATGTTGAGGATGAGATGTATAGGAGACTAAAACGTGAAGATATCTATAATCCACAAAGAACATACGACAAGCCAGCCATACCTGATGTACCGCAAGTTATTAATATAATAAGGGACATTCTTTTGGAAATGAACGGATCATTATTTACCAAATAAAGCAAGGACTTATCAGAAATGTAAAGAAACACCAAGATGAAAGATGACTGAATGTGAAGATAACATTTCATCTGTAAGTACTTAATCAAATGTGATAAAGGCTGCAGAGATGAAACCACACCAACTATTAAAGTCTATACTCTTCTTGGTGTTCCTCTACTTCACAGTCGTATGGAACTTTGTACTCTTTTCAGCCAATATAGTATTGCACAAAGTTTACTCTCACAAAATATAAAAATGTGATCAAAGTAAACTTCTGGAATTCAACAGAAACATAATTTATTGGTCAGAAGAATGAGTGTGTGTAACACTTAAGGTCATTGTCTCATAACTCACAAATGTATGGAAGTCCAAGGCATCAGAAATAGTAAGCAATTTACTCTGGGTGACAGGAATTGCTAACCTGCCTACTGGAAGGAATTGTATAAACAAATTTACAATCAAGCCTTTAGAGCATTACCAATTGCAAAGAATAAACTACAATAATATGGCTGAAACAAATAACCCAAACCACACTTATGAAATGAAACAAAATTGATATTTTGTTCCATCCTGGATTTTGATTAACTTATAAAGACCTGACGTGGAATCAAGACAGACTGGAATGTCGTCACTTTAATTTCATTTCATATGTGTTGGTTGGGTTATTCATTACCCATTGTTAACTGAATGTAATGAATACTAAGAGCCAATTTAAATGTTAATTTATTTTGCTTTAGGATGCTATCCTGGAGACCAGCTTTTTAACAGAAATAGATATAAAGAAAGAGGCACTGTCCTGTATAAAACTAATGTTGCATGTAATGAAATGCCAATTTCTGGATGAGCCTTGGAGGATCCCTGAAGCTACTATATACTGATATGGTACCATCTACTAGGTTGCATCAGCAATGGAGTTCTATATGTCTTCCAGGTACCACTGCCAGAACCTGGCTCCCCTCACAGATGTAGGGAGTGGTAACATTTACTTTTGCCACCTCACTGGGTAAGCAACCAGAAAGTCAGCGAGTCAAAACAAGCCACTGCTGGCTTCAATAGATACTAAAGCCTCAAAACTAGAATTTTCTCGGAATTAGCGTGAGCTCGTTCACCCCACTTCCCCCTACTCATTTGGGGGAAGGGAGCAGGTTGCCCACTGCCAGCCAGTATCTCCACTCTCAATTCTAGGGCAGATGTAGGTATCCACCTGATGACCTGGGAGAGAAGGAATCATGGAGCCACCAGGACTCGCCCAGCAAATGGCATTTTATTACATTCAATGTAATAAATTGTGGCTCAAAGAAGCTTATTACCTATGGAGAAAGAAAACACACAGGAATTCTCTGAGAGGATGAAGCATTGCGTCAGGGGTGAAGAGGAGACACCCGGCCAAGAGACAAGGCTCAAAGCCACACAAGGTCGCCGAGGCTTACCTACCTGTTGATGACTCCAAGGATCAACAACCCCAGAGCCCGGTCTCTGACCAGGTCTCCAGGTTGCTGGTCTAATCAACAAGGCTGTTAAATGCAGCTGCTCACAGCCTGACATACAAGTTACAGCCTGATTGGTAAGGTATCTTTTGAAGGGGCTTGTCGAGTTCTCCCTTGAACACAGCGAGAGATCACCCAGTTATGCCCTGAATGTGTAGAGGAAGTGTTTGAAAAGTCTTGGGCCTTTGATGTTGATCGAGTTCTTGCTCAGCGTGCCTACTGCACCCCTGCGTTTCAGTGGGGCTATTTTGTACATCCTGCCATGTCTTCTCGCCTCATGTGATGTTATTTCTGTGTGCTGATTTGAAAGCAATCCTTCTGTGAACATTAACCAGGAACCAGGTTGCCAGAACCCCGTTTGACCTTCAAAACTTCATTACCCGAATATCAGCACAAGACATATTGACGAACACCACTGACACCAAAAACACGCCTAGGGAGAAGAGCATCATACTCTTCATTCAGCCAAGTGTGGTTGGAAAGAACCAAGCCAAGCTATACCCTAGTAAAAAAACAACTCAACTCTGAAACCTGCATAGAAAATGGAGCCAAGACCAAGTAACTGACAAGCTGCTGGGCAAACCACACACGCTGGGGAGGGAGGGAGGGGAAGGGGGAGAAGGGGAAGAGGTGTGGTCAGAGTTCAAGTGGAGGAAACAAACACCCCAACTCCAAAACACAATGGGGCCAACTCTGGGGCCCCAAAACAACCACCACTCTGTAAACTCGGAAACGGAACACCATACCCATAAAGCGGCAGGTAAGCTTTAAGAGGAGAGGGGCCAAAGAAGAATGGAGACCAAAAGTGCACATGTGGCATATAACTCCGGGTCATAGGTGTCATAGACCCAATGGGCAGCCAAGCAAAGGAAAAGAATGACCGCTAGCCCATAGCACAACTGACAAGCACTCTACAAATTTGAAATGACAAGTACGGACTCAACCCTTGCTGCATCCGAGACAGGCAAGGGATGCCTGTGCCCGCAACATGTATTTTTTTGTTATTTTCTCTGAATAAATCACTGCAGATATCGATACTAAGTATCGAACAATGTGACTATGTTTATATGAATTACTGGTATCCATGATACTGACATATGATTTTAGGTTATGAATAATAATTTACAATTGGCCAATATTAAAGTACAGTATATTATGTTTTTATTAAGAATGGGACATAATTTTAATTTTTTAATAAAACGACAGGATGGCTGCAAAATATGAAAAATGGTCTCATTCAAAATAATATGTATGGTCAGCCTATGATGTATGAAAATGCACAACACCTGTAAGAAAAGTATTATTAAAATACATAAATGCCATGTGTGAAAAAGCTGTCACTACTCGTACACAGAAATCCAGAATAGTGGCACAAAATACATAAACATAAGCGACTTTTAATCAAAATGAAAAGTACCAGAAAGGAAAATACCTGAAATTATAGACGGCATCAAGGTGGAGAAAGTGACATGTATGCATACACAAGTGTTATTAATAGTGACACATGTGTGTGTGTGTATATATAGACCTTATGGTATTTATGCCAATGAAAAACAAGAGAAATTTTGTTTTTTTATGAGAATGTTAAATTAACTGTTAATAAAGAAATTATGCAGAAGCTTAAAAAACTATCAAGAAATATTAAATAAAAATGTATCAGAAAGAGAGATACAGTATTAATGTATTAGAGACAACTGATTATCTAGTGATTTTAATAAGGTATCATTCCAGAGAATTATTATAAAAGACTTTAGCAATAAAGATCATATTCAAGGGACTAATCAAGTAAACAGCACACTGGTGACTAATTCAGAAACATTTGATGATAAATTTATTACTCACACTAGTCAATGACTTTTTTTTATCAGATGTCTAAAAGGTTAACTGCATTAACCCTATTTTATAAAATAGCTAACAAGTCAAATGGGAAAAATTTCATGAGATAATTAGAGCACAAGAGAAAATTGCAGATAGTGACTGGAGCACAGGAGGAAATTGCATATAGCAACTAGAGCAAATGATGAAATTACAGACAGCAATTGAAGCACAGGAGGGAAATCACAGATACAGTGTAATAATTGGAGTATTATGAGGGCTAACAAGCACAGCACAGAAGGATGAGCTGAAATGCTGAACTGTGCTGAGATCAAGTCTTAGTACTGTACGTGTACTGTACCGGTAAATCTGACCATCCCTGAAAGCTGTTTCAATCTCCAGTGTCAAACTCTATTCACTAGAAAATAACACATTTTGGGTATATAATGTGCTTTATAAGTACTGTAAAAGGAAATCTAATTTGACAATAAAACAGGCTGTCAGCTTCTGGTTAATCTCTAGAATATGATCATTTAAGCAAGAAGTCGAGGGGACCCTTTAAATATGGATGGAATGGGTCCATGTTAACATGACAGTGTCGTCAACCTTGTAAAATCAACACTCACCCTTAGCCGAGCTGAGTGTGGTAGGGCGGAATCCTGACTGTTCCACCTTATTCTGTATAAGGTTCTGGACACTCTCTGCTGATTCCTTGACTCGTGACAGCAAGCCTGCATCAATGCCACCACCACCACCACCACCACAATGACCAAACCCACATTAGTTCACACAAGACATGGCAGCAAGCCTACAAGTCATGGTGCTGCATCTACTCTCAACCAGTTATTAATGACAATCTACATTACAGTACAGTATTCTACAATATATAACACTTTCCTTTATTTGCTACATATTTTAACACATGTAAAATACTAATAAATTACAAAGCAAATTTACTGATATTGTTCTTCTGGAAAATGCCAAATCAACAAACTTGAACAACTACTGTATTCACAATTGAAAAGAATGTCACCTAGGCTAAAACATGTTGCCGAGAACTACAACTGGTTGGTGAGGTGCGGCCCACTGCTTGTGTTGGCACACCGGGAAGTATTAGTAGTTACACACACAAATTCTTCACAACTGGTCCAGGTCTCGGACAATGGCTCCAAAGATACAGGTGAAGGGTTTGGCTACATATATGCTATTACTTAAATTACTTTATATAATATAAAATGTTAATTATAATATTGTAATTATTTCCATTCACACAGGATATTAGATAAAATACTTACAACTGAATAAATTTATGATTCACAAAAACTCAAAATTCTGTTTACATAGCATAAGCATATTTTTAATTGTTACACACAGCATTCTAAGCCAATGCTTTATTTTTTATTCGTAATACAGTACTGTCTGAATGTATAAAAGCCAGTAATTCATCACCTATATCCAATGAGCCATTTTCTACATCTAAGACAGGAAAGCCCATATAAGATGTACATATGTGCAAACTAAGACACATTAGTTTACTGAATCAATGGAATAGTGGAATTAGTCTTGTAAATAAGGCCAGAACGGCAAGGTGAGAGGTGTGAGGGGGCACAGTGCAAGGAAACGAAACACATCATGCACACACCAACACTTGAATTAGTCGTCTCTTTCTGGTCAGGCACAACCTCGACCTGGATAGCAAATGTTGCGTACTGTTCAACGTTGGATTCTTATTATAAATAATGGGAGTACCCAGCTCACTCAACATGAGGTTAGAGTTTGTTTATCAGTACAAGTTCCCATTATGGTTACCAAAGGTTTCCCACCACTTGCCATCTGCTATATCCAGTGGAGTGTATTCCTACGAAGCAAAGTAAGCATTGCTTACCCTACAACAATTATTCCCTTTCAAATAAAAATATCTTTATTTGGTTAACATACTATTTAATTCAATTGTATGTGCATTCTGCATTTTTTGGTCCCAGATTTTCAAGCTGCATTTGGCACTTCAAAATCTGTCCCTCAAATACACGCCTAGTTGTGCTTGCATGGGTTGAGCTTCAGCTCTTTGGGCCATCTCTCAACTGTCAATCAGCTGGTGTACAGATTCCTGAACCTATTGGACTCCATCATAATTACATTTGAAACTGTGTATTGAGTCAGCCTCCACCACATCACTGCCTAATGCATTCCATTTGTTAACTACTCTGACACTGAAAAAATTATTTCTAACATCTATGTGGCTCATTTGATTACTCGGTTTCTACCTGTGTCCCCTTAATTGTGTTCCACCCGTGCTAAATAGTTTGTCTTTTCTTTATCCACCCTGTCAATTCTTCTAAGAATTTTACAGGTGGTGATCATGTCTTCTTTAACACTTCTGTCTTTCATGGATGTGAGGTTTAGTTCCTTTAGCCTTTCCTCGTAACTCATACCTCTCAGTTCTTGGACTAGTCTGGTGGCATACCTCTGAATCTTCTCTAGCTCTGTCTTGTCTGAAAGGTATATAAGGACTGTACATATGTGCTTGTATGGTATGTAAAGGTATGTAACCAGGTATGGACTCCAGGTTAGAGTTGCATATTCCAGGATTAGTCTGACATAAGTGGTATACAAGGTTCTGAATGATTCCTTATACAAGTTTCTAAAGGCAGTTCTTATGCTGGCCAATCTAGCATACGTCAGTGATGATAAGCTTTTGATGTTGCTTCTGACTCTTCTGGCTTTTGGAGACAGGTTCGGTCTGCTATCAACCCCAAAATCTGTCTCTCTACTTGACTCTTGCAGGATTTCACCTCTCAGATGCTCCCTTGTGTTTGGCCTCCTGCTCCTTTCAGCTTAATTTCATTACTTTACACTTACCCGAGTTAATCTTTAGTAGCCATTTCCTAGACCACTCCTTCAAGGTCGTCCAGGTCATCCTGTAGTCTCTGTCTATCTCCATCTGTCTTGATTCTTCTCATAATTTTTGTCTCATCAGCAAACATTGAGAGGAATGAGTCTATGCCCTCTAGAAAATCATTTACATATATCAGAATCAGGATGAATCCAAGTACAGAGCCCTGCAGGACTTCACTGATGACATCTCACCACTCTGAGATCTCCCTCACAGTTATTCACTGTTTCCTGTTGCTTAGATACTCCCTTATCCACTGGAGCACCTTACCATATATATCTGCCTGTTTCTCCAACTTTTGTAATTGACTCTTATGGGGTACTGTGTCAAAGGCTTTCTGACAGTAAGAAAATGCAGTCTGCCCACCCTTCTCTTTGTTGCCTAATTTTTGTTGCCTGGTCATAAAATTCTATTAAACCTGTGAGGCACGATTTACCATCTCTGAACCCATGCTGGTGGCGTGTTACAAAGATTGTTCTCTCCAGGTGTTCTATGAGATTTTTCCTCACGATCTTCTCCATATCCTTGGTGAGAGGATAGTGGTGAGTGAAGCTCTGGAGCACTGATGACATCTCACCATGCCAATACGAGTTAGGGAAACTGGCCTGTAGTTCAATGCTTCTTGCCTGTCCCCCTTTTCTTTATATTGGGACTACATCAGCTGTCTTCCAGCTTTCTGGTAGACCTCCTATTTCCAGTGACCTGTTATACATCATAGAAAGTGGCACACTTAGTGTTTCTGCATCCTCTTTTAGTATCCAGTGAGATTCTGTCAGGCCCAACAGCCTTTGTCACATTCAGCTCCAACAGTTTCCTTTTAACCTCATCATTAGTAAGCTCAAATTCCTCCAAGGTGGCTTTGTTTACTACCTCCTGTCTCAGTACAGGGCCTCTTGCTCTATTGTAAGAACCTCCTGGAATATCTTGTCGAGTTCTTCACACACCACCTTGTCATTCTGTGTGTGTCTGTTCTCCCCTTTTCCCAATTTCATCACTTGTTCCTTCACTACTGTTTTCCTCCTGATGTGGCTGTGGAGCAGTTTTGGTTGGGTCTTGGCTTTACTTGTGATGTCATTTTCATACTGTCTCTCTGTTTCTCTCCTCACTCTGAGGTACTCATTTCATGCCCTCTGGTACCTCTACCTGCTCTCTGGTGTTCTGTTATTCCCATAGTTTCTCCATGTTCTAGTACTTACTCAATTGCTTTGCTACCTTACATTCCTGATTAAACCATGGATTCCTCCGTTGCTTTTTATTTTTCTTCTTTTAGGCCGGGATAAACCTGTCTGCAGCTTCCCGGCACTTCTGGGTGACATAGTCCATCATATCCTATACAGTCTTTTCTCCGAGTTCTGTTTGTGTGTGTGTCACTCCCTTTGAGAGCTCATTCATACAGACCATTGACCAATGGTCTTAAGACTCAGTTGTATGGAACACCACTTTCCACTCCATTCCTGCCTGACATAGTCTCTCTATGATCCTTTGTTTCCTGTCCATCAAGTACTTCCCTTTTCTTTCCATCTAGTGTACAGTACTGTATTAGTCTTTTGTGAGGAACAGTATGAAAAAGTCTTTTGGCAGTCTAGAAAAATGCAGTCTACCTATCTTTCCTTCTCTTGTCTTATTTTGGTGACCCTGTAATAAAATTCAAACATGTTTGTTAGGCATAATTTTCCCTCTCTGAAGCTGTGTTGTGCTGCTTCTATTATACAATTTGCTCTCCCCAGATGTTCTACAGTCCTTTTTTTTTGACAACTTTCTACAATCTTGCACAGAATACATATTAATGACACTAGTCTATAGGTTAGTGCTTCATGTCTCTATCTCTTTCTTAAATATTGGAACTACATTTGAATTTTTTCAGCTTTCCAGTAATTGTCCCATCTCAAGTGTATTGTTGAAGACTATGTTATATTAATGGGTAACTCAAGATTCCTGTAATTTTCTTCAGTAACCATGGTGATACCTGGCCTGGTACTTCTGCCTTTGTTACATCCAGCTTATCCAAGTATCTTTTTACCTCTTCTACATTAACTTCAATTCTGTCTAATTTTGTTTCTGGTTGTCTGTTGTCACCTGTACTGTACTTGGATACCAATCTAGTTCTGGTTTGAATATCTCCTGGAACCTATTGTTGAGTTCTTCATACACTTCTTTGTCATTCTCCGTGTGTTCCTCCCTGACCCCCCAGTCTAATCACATGGTCTTGAACCATTACCTGGGCCATACCTGGAGAGGGTTTCAGGAGTTCTTCTACTCCCAGGGCCCAGCCTGGGGCCAGGCTCGACTTGTGATAACTTGATCCAACAGTCTGTGCTTGGAGCAGCCTGCAGGCCCACATATCCACTACAACCCAGTTGGTGTGGCACTTCTTGCAAGAACTTGTCCAAGTGCCTCTTGAAGATGTCCACCTTTGTTCCGGAAATATTTCTAATGCCTGCTGGGAGGGTATTGAATAGCCGTGGACCTCTGATGTTCAGACAGTGTTTTCTGATTGTGCCTATGGCACCTCTACTCCTCATTGGTTCTATTCTGCATTTCCTTCCATACCCAATATTTTTCTTCATATGTGGATGTGCAACAGCTTAGATTAGCTCACCTAACGAGCCAGCTTGGTGGGCTGTATTCAATATTAGATAGAACACAGAGGCCATACAATGGTATTGAACTCACATTCCTTAGCACCCAGGCACACACTGCTCATTGAACCATGATGAGTTTCAAAGTACAATATCACTGTGGCCCAGTCGGTAGTACATGTACCTGGGGAGTCCAGAGATGCAAGTTCCATCCAACCACACCACCTCAATATTTTCTCATATATGAAGCACGATACTTTGATATAATTGTGTGTATATAAATCAATTTAATGGTAAATGAACAGAGATAAAGAAGATTAAGAAAGCAGAAGTCCAGACACATATAGAGGAGCAGACACAGATGATGCATATAAAAAGGTAGAGAATAGAGAGAACACAAGTGTCTAGAATCTGCTTAAAAGTCAGGAAATGATAAGAAGTAATTAACACCTGCCCAAGACTTCAAAACCAAGTACATACAGTACCTACAGCAAACCATAAAGATAGAGAACATGAGAGATACTGTATATACAGTATCTTTAACACTTTTTGCTTTGTACACAGATCACTGATAATTCTCGATTCACGCTAAACCGCAACACCGCTTCTAATATTATTTACATTCATGTGTAGATCACTGGCAAGTCTCGACTCAACGTAACTCGTACCATCACCTATAACCTCATTTACGATCATATGTAAATCACTGGCAAATCTCAATTCACTAACCCATACCAACCAGTCTAAGCTGCTTGATGGGGTTCTGGGAGTTCTTCTACTCCCCAAACCTGGCCTGAGCCCAGGCTTGAATTGTGAGAGCTTGGTCCACTAGGCTGTTGCTTGGCGCGGCCTGCAGGCCCACATATCCACCACAGCCCTGTTGGTCCGGCACTCCGTAGAGAAAATTATCTAGTTTTCTCTTAAAGATGTCCATGGTTGTTCCAGCAATATTTCTTATACAGTACTGTACTCGCTGGGAGGAAGTTGAACAACATCCCTCCCAACCTGATTTATATTCATACATAAATCACTGGTATCAACTCGCTAACGTGTACCGGCGTCTCTAACCTGATTTATGTTCAAAATTTTACAATAGGTTTATTAAGGTTTAATAGAGTGTATTTGGTATACGGTAGTAGGTTGACACTAAAATATAAATTGGAATCTTTTAGAGCCATTATATAATGTTCAAAAGACCACTTGAATATTAAAGACACATCTTAGTAACAACATTAACCTTTGAAGAAATGTGCATATTATCACTGATCCATGTTTGATCCATGATGCACACAACATCCCAAGATGTTGTACTTTGTAACATTTGAAACTCCTGTAAATACACAGCATTCCCAATAGGTATTTGAGGCCTTCAGAAAGAATCTATTATCATGAAAAGTTATATTATTTTGGGAACATTTTTTGTATGCACAAGGTATGATTTCTTAGCAACATAGGAAGAGAAAAACCTTGTTTCAAATATCCTTTTTCCGAGTTCCTACAGATAATGTCTCGTGTAGCCCTTGCACAATAAGACATGCCAATAAACATCTTAATATAGTCAACGTTTACTTGGTGTAGGGCTACTTTAGGCCTGAACTGCTTAGATCAAAAGAATCTCTTGCACAATGTAATGGTTAATGAGATTCTCAAAGATGTTCCTCCAAAAAAATATTCTTTATATAAGAACTACATACCAGGTAAGCCCACATATACATAAAAGAAACAGTGAAGGACATGGGGTTTTGACATCAGAGGATCAGTGCAGCTAAGACAGTCCTAACTAATAACACTAACAAACTGGTGCAAATAATTGGATTAATCTTGATTGCAAACTACATCACTAGTTAGGTGGTTACTTTATATAATAAAATTATAGCACTAAAATTGTTATGTTATGCACAAAAACTATTTAGAACTTCATAAACGTCTAACTTCCTGTTGTTCTTTCTGTTGACGATCATGCAGATTAACACGCCACAAAGTTCATGCTTCCCCATGCACATCCACACACACAGTAACACAAAAGCAGTAACTCCAACAATATTAGTATCTAATTGAAAAAAAATGGCAATATCAGTATTGTGAAGCATGTTTCAGTTACATTCATGAGGTGCGGTCAAGGTGAAATCCTAGAAACTTATTATACGAGTCTTATACCGTCCCTCGCCCTTCTATGAAGAGCAACACAAGACATGCCAATCATGAATAAACTTCTTAATATAGTCAACATTTTACTTGGTGTAGGGTTGCTTTAGGCCTGAACTGCTTAGACCAAAAGAATCTCTGCACCAAATAAAAACATATTCTTTAATAGAGGCTTGTCCTTGACTGGTGTCACCCACTGGTCAGCAGCTCCTGGCTTTCATTCACAGTTCAACCCGTCCTCTTACTAAATGCACTACATTTTTTACGCAATCACAACCACCTTAAAATTTGGGTGGTTTAGGGAAATTAAACACGCTGCACTATTGATGCTTTCTGGGACTAATGAGTATCAGCTCCAGTATTAGATGGGTTGGCTAGTATTTACCAATTTTGGATACTGTAAACCACTATTTTTTATGGAGGGGAAATCGAGAGAACGGGCTGCACAGTTAGTGCTCTAGAACTGCTACGTAGCGGACACAGTGGCAGCAGCATAAACAATGCTTCAGAAGCATTTCTAGAATCAGACCCTGCATTCTGCATGCATGGGGGTACAGTACTAATTTGACCTAATTTAATCTAAATACAAATAACTTTTCTGGAACATGAGCTTTTGGTGCATTATGGCATCTGGCAATGAGTGCAACATCCTCTCACACAGTTCAACACGTGTGTCGCATTTGCATGACACACACAATATTACTGGAAGATTCTCTACTTTGTTTCCATACTAATTAGTAATTATCTTGACACAATTTCCAAAGAAATTTTAATATAAAAATGTATATACAGAACTGTATTAAAATACACAAGATAAACAGGGCAAATGTCTAGCATCTAAAAGTCTTTAGTTCATAGCAACTTTATATGTTGTATGAAATTTATTTAATGCAATAAATTTGGTATGAAAAGCAGAGGGTATGTGCTTACCTATCAGTAAGTATGGGGCAGTGTGATCTAGATCGTTATGCCCTGCCTGCCTCCTACCCATTTACCTGATGCCCTATTACCACCATATTATACGCACAAAAGCTTTGTCAACCAAAGTTGGCGTCAGTATTAAATCTTCCAAGGGACATTTTTTGCAATGAGGGTTGCCATGTATTGTACTGCGTATATAAAAGGATGAACAGTATATGTACTAAATGTACTGAATTAGGCACATTGCTGCATGAGGGATGGGCACCAAAATGCTCATGTTCCTTGCCTACCCTGTTGGTCTCGTTCTTTCATCTTCTTCTCCACATTGGTGCTCTTGTCCTTAGCACGACCGAGAATATCTAATCACGACGACGTGGCCGTGGAATGAGGTAAACGAAGGGAGGGAGGGAGGGAGGGAGGGGAGGGATTGCTCAGCTCATTGCTCTTGTGGCCTTACTTTATCAACACTCAACACATACTGTACACTGCATTGGTAAATACTGCTCCCCATACACAGACATGCACACACACACACGCACACACACACACACACTTACAATAACAATATTCATCAACACTATAATCACAATATAGATACATATACATACATAAATAGTACTTACATAATCACACACATAAATATACAAACTAATGTATATATACATCAGTTGAATAGAAAATACAGATTCAGAAATTTGAAGCAATAGACACTGAAATGACCAGTCAGAACTTTTAGTACATATTTTTTATAATCATACGAGTACCACCCACAAATCAAATACGAAATTGTATGCATGTATGAGAATTCTATTTTTATAAATGGAAAAGTTAAAAAAAATCCTAATATAACGTTCAACTGCAATGTCTATAACATTAGCACTCAAGTCCGTATGAACTTCATGTGTGTATTATGTAAACTTTATTCAATATAGCTAACTAGAAGACATTTTCCATCACCTGAATAGAAATATTACGTTTGTCTACACTCTAATATAAAAATTTAACATTCTACTATGCTAGCCCCATTCAAAAGACCAAGAATGATTCTACCTAATGGGAAAAGGGGTTTTGTTAACAGATAACATAGTTCAACGGGACTTGGCTAGAACATTTAAACAGGACTACCACAATTATTATGAACTTAACTGCTCAAGCACATGTAATCTTGTTGAGCAGTCTAACACACATTACCTACTACTGTACTTAAAATTTCTAAAATAATTTTAATAGACTTTTTTTCTATCCAAAAAATTCAAAGATATTGGACCATGTCATGATTTCCTCGTGTCTCGCAACTTACCAACTGTTTTCTCTCAATATTTTCAATGAATGAGGTTTGCCGTATCCTATTTAACTCCAGGGTTACCCCAGGACATAAAACACCTTTTAGCGCTAAATTTCACCTTGTCTGTTTCATAACATGTTTCAGGCCAGAAAATATTTTGTTTTTTTAAACGATTTGTTTCTACAATCAGACCAAGCAAATAGGTAATGTGATCAGTATTAGAATGCAAATAAGCTAAGTAAAATACCGTACAATAATTCTAAAGAGACATTCAGGAAAATATTGCATGATCAACCTTTTAATTTAAATTTTTTGACAGTGGAGTGACATAAAAAGAAAGGAAGGAATACAGGGATACTGATGTTTTGACGAGATCACTTGAAAGGACACGCACGAGAACAGATGCCGAAAGAACGTTAAATGCTAACATGAAAACATAATTTACAATAAAGAAAATAATTATATTTGTCATGGAAGAATGGATTAAAGATATGAGTGGTAAATGACACACATATTTGGAGGTAGCCATGACAGTCATCAGAAGACCTTAACCTTTCAACTGCACAACACAACCAAGGATGTTTTTACTAATTATTTGTAAGCTGCACGACATGGTCAGAGATGTTTTAAAGTACCTCATAACATTTAAATATGCAGCACATACACAGGGGCTCATAATTGCTTCCTCAGGCTTTCAGTAAACAGATGCCATTTTGGAAAATAATCATGGGCACCCCAGGTCGAGGACCGGGCTGCGGAGATGCTAAGCCCCGAAATCATCGCAATGTAACCCCCCTCCTGTGTGAGGGCCTCAGTGCCACGAGAACAACTATGAGTAGTGCATGCAGAAGCAGCTCACAGCACTGCAATGCAGCTCCAGACCACAGCATCACTTAATGATGATGAAATTGATAGGTAACAGCAATTATAGTATTTAACAATGCGTCGTACAGATCGTGACTGTGATAAAGGCTATGTACAAGGTTCAGATAATAGTGAACCCAATGCTGTCTATGATGTTCACAGCACACAGTCACAGTTTGGTGTACCTATGCATCACCAAACATGACCTCATGTTCCTCTAGAAAATGAACTTGTATAAAGTAAATCATATTCAGGATTTAGTGACCAGCATTCTGAAAATAATAGCAGTGGAGATACTTACTACAATGTCACTGAGCTTGAATGAAGGTGAAGTCAAGACCCAATATATGGGTAAATGTATTAAAAAACAAATTTTTGGATATAACCTAAATCCTTTCTCAAGGTACTGTGTACAATGTCCTGCATTGAACATTATATTGTTCAATGCAGAACAAGTCAAGTAGAACATCCAGAGCCAGGGCTTGGGGAGTAGAAGAACTCCCAGAACCCCATCAAGGTATGATCAAGATACACTATAATAATAATAATAATAATTCATTGTGTCGAGGGAAAGGAAGCCAGAGTGATTCATACACGTTAGGCTTATATCGAGGTCACGCCCATCCAAGTTTGAATTAATCAATTTAATCAATTAATCAATCAATTAAGTTACATCAATCTTAAGAAAAGACAGTAGGAGGTCTTAAGGACTCAGTGGTAGATTTTCAGATGTATAGATGCAGGACCAGTCTTAAGGACAGGACTCTCTTGACTCTTCAGTTTCTTCATATGCTTATACTGTAGTCAAGTTTTTATACATAAGCTGCAGTGTCGCTTTATGTCAATTTATGCTTTTAATTTTTTCTTAGAAGATCTATTACAAGTTTTCAACAATTGTAATGTTGCTACATGTTTAAAAGCAAAGTTAAAATTAACATCAACTCTTTATATCATTTTAATTTGTTTACATTAACTAGTTATCCAACAGAGAAAACGATTAGGATACTCAAACTTAGGATCCCCTAATAGTTAAAATGTACTGTGTTCATATCTTCTAGTGACACTAAAAAGAGCAGCAAATGGCAAATTTATGTACTGACCACCAAACAAAATATCAAATTAATCACTTATGCAATGACAAACCTCATTTATTGCATACAAAGAACACACCAGTATATACAAATCTCATCATCTTCATGCATCTGACAGAGACCAAGTTCATCCTGTGAATAGTTATTCTAATGGATAATATGAAGTAACTTTGGTTCAGCAGCATAAAATCCCATCATGCTAAATTCTCTCGGCCAAAGTTTGAGCTTAAACCCTACTTGCACTATCACCCTCATGCTAAATTTTCTCGGCCAAAGTTTGAGCTTAAACCCTACTTGCACTGCACTATCACCATCATGCTAAATTCTCTCGGCCAAAGTTTGAGCTTAAACCCTACTTGCACTATCACCCTCATGCTAAATTTTCTCGGCCAAAGTTTGAGCTTAAACCCTACTTGCACTGCACTATCACCATCATGCTAAATTCTCTCGGCCAAAGTTTGAGCTTAAACCCTACTTGCACTATCACCATCATGCTAAATTCTCTCGGCCAAAGTTTGAGCTTAAACCCTGCTTGCACTATCACCATCATGCTAAATTCTCTCGGCCAAAGTGTGAGCTTAAACCCTACTTGCACTATCATCAGCATGCTAAACTCTCTCAGCCAAAATTTTGGACTTAAACCTACCCTGTATTACCCCTCATCATGCTAAATTCTCTCAGCAAAATTTCTATCATTACAGTATAGGTAATATACAAAAACATGGAAATATAAAGACTTGCTTATATATTATATATACTGTACATATACACAGTGACATCTTGATTACCCAGAACAATTGGTTCCAGATCTTTCAGGTGCATCCTATTCTGCACTGTGTGTATTGTTAAGGGTTTGAAACGTGCTTAAAAAATAATGAAAATGATAGAATATATATTTGCATCCATTCTGATACTGTACCTAAATCAAATAGAAAAAACCAGCGTTGTATGTAATGAAATGCCATTTTCTGGGTGAGCCCCAGAGGCACCCGGGAGTCATAGGACTGATATGCACTATATTAGTCTGGGGCTTCAGTCAATGGAGTCCTGCCTACCAATGACCAGAGCCAGAACCTGGCCTCCTCAGAGATGCATAGGGAGCAATGGCTTAAGGAAACCCCCCTTGTACTTGGGAGTATTCCTTGTCTGCCATCGACTGGGGTCAAACAAACAATGACAATTGCTTGTTTCCTTTGTTCTTTAGGGGAGTTCTATTTATCTGTTCAGTCTTGGGTTTTTACAATTTCTATCAAGTTGAGTTTGTTTTCAGATGCCTACCTTTCTGGGTGCCTAACCCCAGTCAATGGCAGACAAAGAATACTCCCAAATATAAGGGAGATCTCCTTAAGCCATTGCAGACAAAGAATACTCTCAAATACAAGGGGGATCTCCTTAACCACTGCACTGCGCAAAGCGCCTTTAGGCGCTCAGAGAGTTGTGTTTTTTGTTTTTTAATTTGGTTATATTTTAATGTTTTTTAATGTTTTCATTACTATTTGTGTTTTGAAATGGAAATAGTTGACTTTAGAAACATTTTGACATTAAATTTACCTGAACATTTGTAAAAATAACAAAAAATGTCCTTGACAATGGCACCAAGACGTTTTTGCCGAAAATAGGTGAGCAGTGCAAGGGTTAAGCCCTTGCTCCCTATGCCTCTCAGAGGCGGCCAGGTACTGGCTCTGGTCCCCGGTAGGCAGGACTCCATTGACTGAAGCCCCAGACTAATATGGTGCATATCAGTCCTATAGCTCCAGGGAGCTGAAGGGGAATCCCCACAGAAAAGTACATTATTAATATAAACCCAGCCTTGAATGTAATAAAATGCCACTTTCTGGGCAAGTCTTAGTGGCCCCCTAAAGCTGTCTCGTTGAGATGGCTTCCGACTACTAGGTCGCATCAGCTGTGGAATTCTATTTGGCCTACTGGGAACCAGAGCCAGAACCTGGCCCCCCCTAACACAGGTGCAGACAGCAGGTGACAATGCCATACCACCGGGAAAGTATCCAGAAAGTTAGCGAACCAATACAGACCACTGCTGGGTTCTAAGAGACTGGAGCTTTGCAACCTCCTAATGAACTCTCCCCTTTCCCCCCCCCCCAACAATGTAAGATGATCA